GGAGTGGGGGGGCGGGGGTTCGACTCTCTTTACATTAGCTGCTCAGCACTAGCTTAGCATTGAAGCTAAGTAGCAGTCGAGCGCACACGGGTGGTGGGTTTAAATCCCAGGCAGGAGAAGATGGACAGGAAATGTTTGGGGGGGTTAAGGGGGGGGGGCAGGAGGTCACAACAAATAAAGAACACACACATTGATACAGTTGTTCAGTCTCAGTGGTTTATTGACCAGGCAGTAAAAACTGACCAGACCTGATGAAGTGACCAGGAGGAGATGAGGTCCAGACCCTGGTACTGTTACTGGAACTGGTACTGTTACTGGTACTGTTACTGGTACTGGTACTGTTACTGGTACTGTTACTGGTACTGGTACTGTTACTGGTACTGTTACTGGTACTGGTACTGTTACTGGTACTGTTACTGGTACTGTTACTGGAACTGTTACTGGTACTGTTACTGTTACTGGTACTGTTACTGGAACTGTTACTGGAACTGTTACTGGTACTGTTACTGGTACTGTTACTGGAACTGTTACTGGAACTGTTACTGGAACTGTTACTGTTACTGGTACTGGAACTGTTACTGTTACTGGTACTGTTATTGGAACTGGTACTGGTACTGTTACTGGAACTGGTACTGGTACTGGTACTGTTACTGGAACTGTTACTGTTACTGGTACTGGAACTGTTACTGTTACTGGTACTGTTATTGGAACTGGTACTGGTACTGTTACTGGAACTGGTACTGGTACTGGTACTGTTACTGGAACTGGTACTGTTACTGGAACTGGTACTGGTACTGGTACTGTTACTGGTACTGGTACTGTTACTGGTACTGTTACTGTTACTGGTACTGTTATTGGAACTGGTACTGGTACTGTTACTGGTACTGGTACTGTTACTGGTACTGTTACTGCTGCTGCTGCTGCTGCTGCTTCAATGAGATGTTCAACAGTTCAATTATTTGAGGAAGAGAAACCCAACCAAAGGTCAACAGTGTGTACAGCTGCTCACACAACACACTCTCTCTCTCTCTCTCTCTCTCTCTCTCTCTCTCCATCAGCAGCTACGACCTCATTAACATAACAATACAGTCCGTGTTTATTTCCACCTGACGTTCACCCGATGATGTCAGTTGCCCCCGGTTGCTGCCTCCCTGCCCCGTCCAGAGACAGGCAGCTGCCAGCTGTCCTCCAGACAAAGACCGGTCTGACCGTACTGATAGTACTGCAGCGAGACCGCCGACCAATCAGGCGTCACCGTTGACTGTTGTTGTTGTTCTGGTTCCACCGTCCTCCCCCGACTCATGTCGTTCCTTCTAGTCGAGAACCAGACCTGGTTCCACCGTCCACCCCCCGACTCATGTCGTTCCTTCTTCTTCTTCTTCTTCTTCCACAGGTTGTTCTCCACCAAGTGCAGCGGCTGCCTGGAGAAGATCTCGCCCACGGAGTTCGTGATGCGCGCCCTGGAGTGCGTCTACCACCTCAACTGCTTCTGCTGCTGCGTGTGCGACCGGCAGCTGCGAAAGGGCGACGAGTTCGTCCTGAAGGAGGGTCAGCTCCTGTGCAAGTTCGACTACGAGCGGGAGAAGGACTTGCTGAGCTCCGTCAGTCCCGATGACTCAGACTCAGGTGAGTCCTCGGCGCCCTCTCACACCCCGGTGGCGGCGGCACCACGGTGCGACCGCGGTCTCACACCGGGGCGTTGTATTCTCTCCGCCCCGCGGTCGCCAACGCTGACGGCCTCTGAATCTGGAGCCTGCAGCTCACAGCTCCGTGTCAAGAACTTCTTTAGAAAAGAGAACAAGAACATGATCGCAAAATGTTCTGGAAATCTGGCTATTTAAAACCTGAGTCCGTCCTAGTCCAACCTAGTCCATACTAGTCCATACTAGTCCATACGAGTCCATACTAGTCCATACTAGTCCATACTAGTCTGTCCTAGTCTTTCCTAGTCAGTCCTAGTTTGTCCTAGTCCATCCTAGGCTCCCCCTGGTGGTTAGGGTCAGCAGTTCCTCTGTCATACAGTAGGACACAGGTCAAATCCCAGACGTCCACGTGTGGGCGGGTTCTGGTTCTGGTTCTGGTTCTGGAAAGAGTTAAAGTTCTGTAGCTGTAGCTGTAGTGACAGGGTGATTTGGGGCCTTTCTACAGAAA